CTGAAGTGGCCCTCGGTGAAATTGAGTTTGACACCCCTGCTCTAAATAATTTATCTCAACAAACTCTGGTTATATTGCTCCTTCCTACTTTTAACCACCACTATCTAACTAAACCTAGACATATTCACATTTCACTCAGGATGCCAAGGAAAGTTTTCTGAAGTTCCTGCACAAACGAGCGGATGAAGATGCTATTGTTCGATTCTCCAAAACCTCCTTCAGGATAGCGTCCAGCCCTGAACCACATGAAGGTCCCTCGGACTGTCTGTCTTTGGTCACAGAATCCCAAGAGATGACCCAATTTGTTATGGAGACTTACTGCACAAATCTGAAGACCAACCATCTGGGAAACACCCTGCTGTACACTGAAGTTACCACTTCTACCATGAACCTGCTGGAAGGGTAACATCAATTTTACAATGCTTTTTAATGCCTGAAATGTATGTTCAGACCAGGATCTGTTGTTTCTTAAGGCAGTGATTTTAATTAAGGCAGTGATTTTAATTTATTGAATAAAATTCTTTCAAAGCTAATTCTTTCAAACTAATCAGGGACAGACTGCAGCAAACCATCAAGTCTGCAAAGAAGATCATCAGGGCTCAACTTTCCCTACATTTGGGACTTGTGCAGTTCTAGGGTCAGGGAAAGCACAGTTAACCTCTCTGCAGACCCCCAGAGCACGGTATGGCTTGAGTCGGTGCGGCTTTAAATAATAAATATGAATACATTTTCTAACAGTTTGTTGAGGGTGAGGGCCCAATCTGTCAGCTGACCTCCTGGTAATAATTACTGACTTGAAATGGAGAAATTTATTTTATTTTATTTCATTTCACACACTGAGAAAAAAAAATATTTTTATATATATATAAATCTAAATGTCTGTTTTCAGATGTGCTTCAGCATTTGATACACAAAGCAAATCCATTTAATAATATGCCAGCAAAACCTTACCCCATAAGTTCAGCAGGTGTGAGCAGTTTGCATGTTTTTTCCATCATATTGCAGATGTTCTTACCACATGGTCTTACTATGACTTCAGGTGTCAAATATTTTACTAATTAAGTACTATTTTAAATAATCCATCAATTTATTATTTATTTATTTATTTATTTATTTATGTTTTTGATTATTCAGTTATACATGTCATTTGAGGAAAAATACGAAGATGACATCAACATGCTCAATTGCACAGATTAATATTAGGGATGTACAATATTAGGCAAATAGGCAATATGTGACAGTGAGGGTATAACTTCTGATGAATACTTAACCAAATAGTTTATGTGTATGTCTACAAAAACAATGCATATGTAGTTTCTTAATACCTTTCTAAAACATTTTTAATGTATTAATAGATCTGAAAACATGATACATGTTCAATAAAACAGTGTTTTATTGAACATGTTAATCTATTTCAGTAACTCAATTCACCAAGTCATTATATATAGATTAATTACACACAGACTGATATTTTAAAGTCTTTATTTCTGTTAACTATAATTATTTTCTGGTTACATATAATGCAACCCAATACATAAGCTTAATTAATTTAAAATATACTTTATTTTAAACAAAAATGTGGTCTTATTAAAATATGTTCCATACTTTCTTAAAGGATTTTATTTCAGGAAGGTATTTTTAATCTGATAAGCGAGCCTTATCGGGTGGTATGTTCTAATTCGTTGAATTTTAATATTACTACAGTCCAGAAAGTTGATTATTTTGATCTATGTTGTGTTTAGAAATCAGGGCTACACAATCAATTGTGTAGCCTAATTCACAGACAGTTAATGTTTGAAAAATACCTTTATGGTTTTATAATGATGCTGATGTTTTTCACCTTAAGAGAGCTACTGATCACGTATAATGACACACCCTTTCCTCCCCCTGCTGTTTTTCCTTTTAACTATGTTCTTTCATACACTGCTAAAGGGGGATAGGCAGGCTGGAACTAATTTATTTCCTCAGTGACCTTTCCCCAGCAAATGGAAGTTGCTTCTAGCCTTCTTTGTTTGCATCCACACACGTGGGTAAAAGTGGTGTCTTGGGTGGGTCAGTCGGGCTGCAGGTGGAACCACTTAAAACTGTCAGAAAGTTTGAAAAATGGGCTCTGGAGGAGCATTGAGTTGATTGGAACAGACATAGTTGTCATTAAGGTTATAGGGAAACTAAAGCTGGGTGAATGAGTACAGCAAATAACCCCAGATCTGCTGCTACAGTTTGATTTCACTGACAACGTTAAAGATTCCAGATGTCCCTCTCAAGCAACCCTTGATTAATGTTATTATTAAGAATGTATGTTTCATGTCTCCCAGTATTTGAATTGATGTCTTGATAATACTGGATATTTTCAGGCAAGCCTTCTTTTTCGGCACATATACAGTTTTGAAAAGAGTAGATGGACTCGCAATGTCAAATTGTGCTAAATGTAACATTTAGCCTGTAGTGTTGTTCAAATAAATATTTAGGTAAAGACTAAATTAACAACCTGTGAAAAATCTACCATCCTGTGGAAAACTTTTTAAAAATGAAACTCCTTATATAGAGGCTGGCAATTTTTCAGATGGCTGTGTTATCCAAGAAGTATAAAGTTTTTGAGTGGTGACTTCTTCCATCATGGCACTGCAACTTTAGGAAATTATTAAACCTTCAGATAAAAATACTCCTGCTCTCACGGTGCTTTATGTCTTTGTTTAAGGATAGAAGTAAATCACAAGACATTTAATAAAGATTAAATTGACTATGTGTCTGAAAAAAAACCCAGTACTGGCTTTATCATCTAGAATTGGTTAAGACTTTAGAGAGATGATGCATGCAGCTACAAAATATCCCTTAACTCTTGACCACAACATCTACTGCACATTACTTTGCCATCTAAAAGGCTCTTCACTGTTACATGAAGAATGTTTAAGACAATGATGTCATTGGACCAAAAATTTGGTTTATTTTCTTTGAAAAGGTGAGTCTTGTTCAAAAAAACTGGAGATGGTGCAACTTCTAGCAGCAAACATTTTAGCCAAAACTGTATAACCTTAATGTCCACACAGTAATTTTGTTTTAGTAGTTGAGTTTAGTGTCACAAATATCAGGTAGAACACAGGTGTTTTTCATAGCAATGAGTTGACTTTTGTAAATGTGTCTCAGTTCACTAGTAAACTGAAAGTTCACAGTAACATGAGTGTTTAGTTCATCTGTCATATAAAGCCTTTAGTTGAATGCTTGAACCATCAGTCTTGGTTAGGGGTGTAAACAATTAATCGACTTATGATCAGTTGCCGATTAATGGTTTATTACATTAAAATAGCTTCTAACGGAACATACACTTAGACCTTCTTTCAGTGTTGTAGATTGGTTGCCATCAAGCAGACACTCTTTAGGGAAGTTGCAGGTTTTCTCTAGTGGGGTTCTCACTTATGTTTGTTGACGTCCCAAAGTCTTAGAAATGCCTTGTAACCCTTTCCAGATAGATAGTCTATTACTAATTTTTCTTTCGATTTTGACATTTTTTAGATGATATGTGACTTTTTAAATTCTGTCATCAGAGAGCTTTTTTTGAGAAGCCTTATTTTATCTGCAGATGAGATGATTGGTTTGTATTGATTTGATTCCATTTTAGACGAAATATAAAACATGCAGGACTCGTATTCTCAAAGAATCCTGATTAAATCCAGCTCCTGATGATGTCATTATAGGAAAAATCTTAGAATTTATGCAATTCTACAATTTTTTTTTTTAATTTTACATAAATAAAATAAGTTATGTGCATTGTTCCGGGCCTTCAAGAAAAAGTTTCAACATGCATCTCTTAGCAAATACCATTACGTATGTAATGGTATTTGCATGAGTTTGGCTAAATCAGACAAAAGTTTATCCTTTTATGGAATTAGCATGTTTCATGTATTTCTGCATTTCTGGTGCACTTCATTGTGCTCAACCTCTGCTCCAATGATCTCTGCACAATAAAGATTACATTAGTAATAAGTACATAGTGGTAATGTGTTGGTTGATTTGGCCTGTTTATCTCATTAAGGTTCTGTCATGATAGACACCTTAGACAATGAGCATGTTATTTCTACAATGCTCATAAATTGACATGAGCATCTTTAGGTTATCGAGACAAAAAGACTGTTGAAATAACAGTAAGTACTCCTCTTCAACAAACCATCTGATTGGTCAATTAGCACCAGAGCTTCTAGCTCATGCCAGCCAGCTAGTTGTAGCTTCAGCATGTCTCTAAGTATCAGCTTATATATACTGTATAAGAAGTGTGTGGTTTTCTGGTAATTATGCCTAGTCTTTATAAAGTGTTTCTATTAATATGCTTTGTTTTTTTATTTGTGATATGGATTGAAAACTCCAGTTATATAGTTGTTGAAATAATGTAAAATATTTACTGCAATAAATAGATGCTGCTGGTACTGAGTTGAGGTAGAAATATTTATTTAGCAGAGAGAGCACTTGGCACATCCACAGAGTATAATAATTCTTTTCCTGCTCTGCTAAATTTGATCCTTATGCCTGGAGCAACACTTGCACTGCTGACTTCTACTCAAACTGCTAAGAAATCAATGAGGCCCCTTTTACAAATCTGTTTTGTATGTGATCTACACAAAAACTGACTGACTTTTTTAGGCAGGATTGCTTACTTTGAGAGCAAATCTTGTGTTTAAAAGCTATGTTTTCTATCAACCCAGAATCAGTTTAATTGTGGAAGAGAAAGGTTTTGTTTTAACACAAAATGCTTGGTTTTTTTGTTTGTGTTGTTTTCTTAAAGGTTTCCATAAATAATTTTGATTCCTTAACTGTAGCAACTTGTGTAGCATCTTTGGCCAACCAGCTCTGGCAATCTTGGAGCTTTGCTTAAAGGGGCCTTGCTTGTTATGGAAGGTCACCTCTAGTCTGTCTGGTGGTCTCTACAGGCACTGGCCTTTGAATGTCTTTGGTGGTCCCCTCACTTGGACTTCTGAACTAAATTGTAAGCAATTAAACAAAATTCTAGAAGATTAAAGATTGGCCAGTAGGAGAATCTCATGGTAAAAGAGATTCTCTTTTACCATGAGAATCTGGTAAAAGAGATTCTCATGGTATTTTTTGGTGTTGGTGACTGTTGGTTTGCGATCAAAAATCAGACAGGATCCAGAAATTGCAGAGCTCTGAATTTTTCTTTTTGCAGCCCTTCACAATATTAACCCAAGCATATGAAAGATAACGTAATTAAAAAAAAATTGCTGAACACAAAAAGGCAAAATATTTCCATTGCTCTTGCTAAAATAATTTTATTACAGAGACAGTATTGTTAATAAAAAGCACCTAGATTAGACTTTTTGCAGTCAGCTATTTCATTTAACCATAAGAACAAATAAGTGCTACAAATAAGTGTTTTTCATTTAAAGATTCTTAGA